GTGAGAAGGCTGGAGCTGAAGGAGATCGAGGATCCCCATCCCACCATCGTGTGGGGCGTGGTGGTGACCCAGAGCGACAGATCGACATCTGAGATGACTCGGGGATCGCTCGCCGCAGGAGGCTGATTATTGCGGAATCAGAGGATGAATCTCCCCTTCCAATGCGGCCGACGAAGGAAAAAGAGAATGTTGCTGAAGGGAAGAAGAAGGGGAAGCGGCTGGTGAAAAAGGCCCTTGCCTGCGATGGGCCAGAAACGACTCCGGCCCGCAAGGCTTCAGTTCGCAAAGAGAAGACTGCTGCTTCGCCCGGCCCAGTAAGTCAGCTGGAGCTGCTCGCAAGAAGAAGGGTCTGGCCCGATCACCCATAGGAAAGGAAACAGGGCCCGTGCTTGTGGGCTCCCTTGTTGCCATGGCACCATCTCAGGCCCATGATCTCTCGGCCCAGGTGCTGATCCAGCTGGCAGACGAGACCGCCAAGAAGGTGGATGGGCAGACTACTTTCGTCGGTTCTTCCTCGGAGGAGGAGGAACTTCGATTTGTGATTAAGTGTCGAAACCAGTGTTATTAAAGCCGAACCGAGCCGCTCGGCCCGACCGGTAAAACCGCCACCCGGTCACAAAACTGGCTCGGAATAGTCTAAAAGCCGCTCCGGTTTTATGTAGCGGTTGGCGAGCGGCCGAGGCGGTTAACCGTTCGAGCCAATCGAGCCGCTCATCCGGTTTTTTCCATTCAGCCACTAAATTTAATTAAAAAAATTGTAGAAAATTGAAAATTGAAATAAACCAATAACATCGGGCTCTCAAATTGAATTCTTATTTCCATTTCACAATTTCGAAGGAAAGAGATGAGCTCTGATTAAGAAATGTCCACGATTTATACTATTAACGTTTATTAGATACCGGTTCTCTAACTGGTTTTTAAACGGTCTAATGCCGGTTGGACCGCTAAAGTGCGAGTCGTTCGCATTACCGGGTCATTCTCCGGTTCGGTTCTAACAACATTGGTCGAAACCCACCAGTGGATCAGCCCAAGCAGGCTCTCCCGGGACAAGTTGATTGCGGCCTTCGAAGCTAGTATGATAATAAATGACGAAAAAGATATGGCAAAAGAGGCGGAAGGGGTCATGATTTCAAAACTCAACGAGTACGGGTCTAATTTTGAGAATGGGAATCGTAAGCGCTCGTTGAATGAGTTGGAGGGTTGTTTTAAGGCGAGCCCACACCCAAATACAGTTTGTGGAAGAGCAAGATATCATTGAAACGGTGGAGGAAGCCAGCCGAGAGTGGCCCCAATCAGATAAATGAAGATACTAGCATGGAATGTGAGAGGAATTGGACCATCCCTCACATTCCAAACAGCTGTAGGTTTGGTTCGTTCCAATAAACCGGACCTTGTTTTCTTTTCTGAAACAAGATCGTCTTGGAGAGTAGTTTCCCGTCGTATGCGGGGTTTAGGTTTTTCGTCTTCCCGGTGTTTTTTTTTTGTGGATGCAATTAATGCATCTCGCAGATTTTTTGCTGCTTGGTCCCCCGGAGTTGACACTTCGTTGTTTTTTCATTCCAATTCCTGCATTTGTACTCGTGTTAATGAGAATAATTTTTCTTATGTGGTGGTCGGTATTTATTTGAGTTGTACGGATGCCTTGAGAACTACTCAATTAACTCTTATACGTGCAATCTGTGAGGATCTCCATGAGCCTTTTTTGGTAATTGGGGACTTTAATGTTGCCCTCCATGAGAGTGAAAAGGATGGGGGTGTTCCTTGGCAGGCTGCCCAAGCCGTTGATCTGCGGGCTTTCATTAATAACTTGGGCATGCTTGACCCTGGTTTCCAAGGGGACCCGTTTACTTGGACAAATAAAAGGATGGGAATGGCTTGCATTCGTGAGAGACTTGATAGGGCGCTGTGCTCACAGACTTGGATGGATCGCTTTCCTGGGACCCTTGTAAAGCATTTTACCGATCAAGGATCTGACAACAGGGCTGACAACCCGGAGGTTAAAGCCATGGTGTCCTATGTCTGGAATGAGAAGATCTATGGAACTCCTATGTTCCATTTGTGGGAGATATTAAAGAAGCTGCACCATCTGCTCTATGATTGGAGTAGAGCAGGGACAACTATTTCTCTTCGCAACATTCATACCCTCCAGGCTGAAATTGACCGCATTAAAACTATCCACCCTATCGATTGGGATACGGTTAAAGACTTGGAGAAGGAGTTAAGTAGACAATGGGAAGCAGAGGAGATATACTGACATCAGAAATCTCGCATCCACTGGTTAAAAAAAGGGGATAAAAATCCGTCCTACTTCCATACTGTTACGAGGGCCGGTCGTAAGCAGAATTATGTTCCTGGGCTTCGCAACAATGATGGAGAGTGGATTACGGACGAACGTGGGAAGGTGGATATTGTTGCCAGCTACTACCAGCATTTGTTTACTTCAGAAAGTCAGGTACCCAATATTTGCGAGAGGGTGGCGGCGCTCCCGATTGATCCCAGTGTAACTCTGGAAATGAACAATAAGCTTACGACAGAAGTGCTCCCGGGGGAAGTACGAAAGACGGTTTTCACTATGGGCTCGACTCAGGCCCCTGGATCGGATGGCTTTACGGGCAAATTTTTTAAATCCTTCTGGGATATAGTGGGGGATTCTGTGACCAAAGCGGTTTGTTCGTTCGTTGTAACGAGCAAAATGCTGCATAGTTTCAATCATACTTGGCTTACTTTGATCCCCATGGTGGATCAAGTAGAGACTATGCGGCAACTCCGACCTATTAGTCTCTGCCAGTTTGTGTACAAGGTGATCACCAAAATTATGGCAGAAAGACTTGCTGAGCTCTTGCCTACTATCATCTCAAAGGGCCAAAATGCCTTAATTCGAGAGCGTCAGATTGTGGAGAATATCCTCCTAGGACATGAGTTAATGCATTATTTAAAAATCAAGACCCGCGGTAAGAAGGGATACATGGCTCTAAAGGTTGACATGGAAAAGGCCTATGATAGAGTCGAATGGTCGTTCCTCTTAGCGGTGTTGGACAAGATGGGCTTTAACTCTGTCTGGAAAGGTTGGATAAAGGAATGTTTACAATCTGCTTCTTTCTCTGTACTAATGAATGGGTCTCCTTCTGGCTTCTTTGCTCCTACCCGAGGATTACGTCAAGGGGACCCTCTCTCCCCCCTCCTTTTTGTGATTTGTACGGAAGGGTTTGCAACCATCCTACAATGCGCCATTTCGGAGGGGAAGCTTCAAGGTGTCAGGGTTGCTCCTAGGGCGCCTCGAATTTCTCACTTGTTCTTTGCTGATGATTCATATATTTTTCTCAGGGGTTCCTTCAGGAATGTGAAACTTGATTGAGGTCATGAATGAGTATGAAGATCTCAGCGGACAACGTGTCAATCTTGAGAAATCGGTTGTCTGTTTTAGCAAGAACATTGCCCTGGCAGATCATGAATTTTTAGCAGAGATCCTGGGTGTCGGTGCGGTGGGCGTTCATGATAAATATTTAGGTCTTCTGTCTCTGGTAGCCCGATCCAAGATGGCCACCTTTCGATATCTAGAGGAGAAGTTGCTAAGTAGGCTTAAATGTTGGAAACGACGAACCTTGTCTTGGGCAGCCAAGGAAACACTGATAAAATCGGTGGCTTTAGCGCTACCTTTGCATGTCATGTCATGTTTCAAATTACCCTTGTCTCTCTGTCGCCTACTGGATAAACATGTGGCTCGTTTTTGATGGGGAGTGGAGGATGGTCATTCCAGGATCCGCTGGGTATCCTGGCGAAATATGTGTAGTAGTAAGCATGAGGGAGGGATGGGCTTTCGACGATTTGAACATTTTAATCAGGCCTTATTGGCTAAGATTGGATGGCAAATTCTGAATGAGCCAGACTCTCTTTTGGCCCAGGTTTATAAAGGGAAATACTATCCGTAGGGGTCCTTCCTTACGGCTATGGCACGTTCCCAGCCTTCTTGGGGATGGCAAAGTATTCTGTTTGGTCACCAGTTGCTGGAGACGGGGTTACGATGGCAAATTGGCAATGGCCAATCGGCACCCCTACTCACTTCGAATTGGATTCCGCAACAACACCCTAATCCTCCAGTCTACAACCCTATAGTGCTACCTATGGAGGGCCAGCCTTTGGTGGCTGAGGTGCTTTGTCCTTAGAGGGGAAGTGGTGTGACTCGAAACTTAGTCAATGGTTTGATCCTTGGACTTGCCAGGCCATCAAATCTATCCCTCTGCCTCGGCAAAACGTGGTGGAACTCGTTAACGGAGTAAGACGACACCTAAGTGTCTCCTACGCATAATTAGATGGAGTTAGACAATTAATATTAAACAAGGAAATTAACATCAATTATAAAATGAACTTTCTATGCCAACAAATTTAATAGCTCAAGCATATTGTGAGCTATTGAGCTACGATTCTATGAAATCTTGAGTTATTTTCTATCCGTTAAGTTTTCAGTAAGTTGTTAATCATTTTAACTGAAGTGAGGAAATGTTGTAAATTATTATTACATATATCATGCATAGCAAATAGCTATAGTTCTTAAAATGCCTAAGAGAGGTAAATTCTAGACAAGATCTTAACGTCAACCTCACACATAGCGCCTTCTTGAACTTCGCTTTTAGTACAGGCTTTCAAATATATATATATATATATATGAAGGTATGAACCCCCTTATCGATTTTTCAATCGTGAATATATCCGTATCCTTAGCATACTGAATCGACTACCATTATTGGCATCAAACAAATAACAATTCATACAAGCTAAATCTTCCAATCGATAATTAGGCCAAAGAAAAAACTTTAATTGGAAAATAATTGGAAAATAAATAATTAGTGATAACAACGACATTAAGGACAAGTTCAAAAGTAGTAATATAAAATAAGATGCAACACTCAAATATGCATATAATGTGTTGATTATCCATAATCATTATTTTCACAGCACCACCCAATTAGTCAACTTCTTCAACGTTGTATTCCCTCGCAGCTTCACAATTCAAAGTATTCGTATTTCACTGCCATTTCTCTGGTGTTCTTCTCGTCATCTTCATAATCCATATGAAACTGCTTTTCTGGTGTACCATGTTCGACTTTCAATTTCTCTAAATAATCCATCAGTATTCCATTCTCAAAATCTCTATATTGTTCGTACGCTTGCTCGTCAAGCTCCCAAGAGACATCCCTGAACGATCTGAGCTTCCTCAACAACTTCTCTTTAACATCATCTAGAAATCAGCAAAAATCTCACCTTAGACTTTAGGAAATGCCAAAACATATCGCAATAGGTTCCTAATCTAATTCGATACTGGGAACACGTTAACAGAGTAAGACGACACCTAAGTGTCTCCTAAGCATAATTAGATGGAGTTAGACAATCAATATTAAACAAGGAAATTAACATCAATTATAAAATGAACTTTCTATGCCAACAAATTTAATAGCTCAAGCATATTGTGAGCTATTGAGCTACGATTCTATGAAATCTTGAGTTATTTTCTATCCGTTAAGTTTTCAATAAGTTGTTAATCATTTTAACTGAAGTGAGGAAGTGTTGTAAATTATTATTACATATATCATGCATAGTAAATAGCTATAGTTCTTACAATGCCTAAGAAAGCTAGATTCTAGACAAGATCTTAACGTCAGCCTCACACATAGCGCCTTCTTGAACTTCGCTTTTAGTACAGGCTTTCAAATATATATATGAAGATATGAACCCCCTTATCGACTTTTCAATCGTGGATATATCCGTATCCTTAGCATACTGAATCGACTGCCATTATTGGCATCAAACCAATAACGATTCATACAAGCTAAATCTTCCAATCGATAATTAGGCCAAAGAAAAAACTTTAAATTAGTCCCCCCCCCCCCCCCACACACACTATCAAAAGATTTAAAAATGTGACAATCATGATAAATTAGAGCTTCTACCAAAAACTATCTTAAAAATACTATATTGTCCTTACAAAATCTAATTCTTTTTCAAAAAGCATAACTAATTTCGTTTGTATTAGTTCAAACTAGAAAAGAACGTAAATTCAATAATTAAGAAGCATAATAGCATCAGCGTTTACTGCAATGGAAATTAAAGGGTCGGAATGAGACACCTACGTGGAAGAATTGCTGCATAGTCGTCGAAGTAATTGGCTCTGGATCCCATTAATTTCCATTCATAAGGTCGGTACGAACATAACGATGGGCGAGCCACGATATCATCATGTTTCCCAGACAATCTCATTTCCACAAGTTTTTTACGGAAAGCCAGAAGCACGTCCTCTGTGCCTTCCCAATACTTCTTATTCAATCTTCCCACCTCCGAAAGCCAACCTAAACCCAAATTTAATTAAATGAAAAAAATAATAAAACTAAGCTGTCAATTTTAGTGTTTTTTTACCTCTCATGAGCACTTTCACTTCTTTCTCTGCATAGATATCACCCCGAAGATGCTTCCACTTGTTATTGATCTCTTCCAAATTGAACTTGAGAATGGATTGCGTGATCAAGTCAGGAAGCACATACCTCGATATGTGGCCCTTCAAGTACTTCTCCATCAATTCCATGAACTCCGAATGCCAAGCTAAAATCCACCTCAACCACAGAATTAAAAAAAAAAAAAAAAAAAAAACTTGTTTTGCCACGAGATGGGCATCTCTGTTGACGTTCCAAGGAGCAAAAAGACACAAGACTGACTCGAAGGAAGAGGACTGAGAAATGCAGTCTTGTTTGGGCAAACCTTGCCCTAAATGAATTCGAGTTGAACTATAAAAAAAATCAAAGAGTTTTCCATTTACCTTCATATTCCGGAATTTCATAGCAAAGCTCGAGCTGCAACAATGCATACCAAGCGTCGTCGAACATATACGGTCTAGCCGAAGGTAGGACATATGAAGCATCGTCGGACAAGTATCGTTTAGCAGAAGGTGGGACAACTGCAAAAAGGTTTAGATCACATAAGATATCATCACCGAAATAGGCACTTTGTATATATCCTTATCTTATAGCATTATAGTGTTCTCATCGTCAAACTATAGCACAAGAGTATTCTCATTCCTCACCATCAAATTCTGGTTTGGACTCCTCTTCATCAGCTTCCAATCGCTTTAAATAATTCATCAGTGCTTTCTTCCAATGATCAGTAAGCAGTCGAAGGATCTCAACTTCGTCGCTAAGATCCTCATATGCAACCATTCTCTGCAACTCCTTGTCCATCCTCACCAAGTTTTCCGTAAGTTCGTCTGAAATTTATTAAAATGCAACACAATCCAAAAATAATAATCAATCAAAACGAGGTTGGGCCATTATTGTTGAAAAATGAATGTTAATTTTGAGATTTACTACCCAAGAATTAACAAATAAAACAAAATAAATAAGAAAAATATGTGGTATGAATGATGGGGGTTGAGATATTAGACATTGTAACCACCTACAAACATTAGACATAGCTACATCAAACTTGATTGACTTAACCAAAGAATGGAAATCAATGGAGGGAAACCAACCGCACCTGGAAGAAAGTAGGCATACTTTCGAAAGACCTTCCATCTCTTTGTCATTACAATGATCCCGGTCTCCTTATTCTTCACCAGCACCAAGTCGTCGTACTCCCCTGACAACATCATCTTCATCAGCAATTTCTGGATCGAAGGAAGCAACTCCGCTTCAACTTTGTTGTACTTCCCAAACTCGAGAATCGAATCTACTAATCCAAACAAGATAAAAGGAATCAATCTCTTATTCATCCAAACAAGATAAAAGGAATCAATCTCTTATTCATGTCTCACTGTTTCTTTTTCTTCACCCCCTACACAAGCAACAATTCTAAGTATATATACAAAGTGCAAGGGAGTGATTTAAGATCCAATTTAGGACATTTCTTACTAACTTAAGCAACAATTGTCTGTCATATATAGCTAATTGATGGTGGTCGATTGGTTATTTTTCTCACCTTTAAGAGCTGGCTCCAGCTCTGATTCAAGAACCGGAACCCTATCCCACAGGAATTCCGCTTCCTCTTCTTCGAACATATCCTCATAATAATAACTTGCATCGAAAATATTAGATTGATGGCGTTCCATCCAGCGCATCAAGTTCTTCAGATCTACGATTAAAATCTCAAATCCCGAATGAAAAAAACTGTCATACATTCTAAAATTCATGTCTGACATATAAGAGCATCCACATTGGTATTGCATTCTCAATTACAAGATGACATGACATGGGTGTTTGCAATTGCAAAACCAATTGCATTGATGTGGCTACCAATTGCATATTTGCAAACTTGCATTTGTATATGCAAGTAAAAAGGGCCTAAAAAATTAGAAATTTTTAGTTTATATTATTTTCTTTTCACTTTTACTTTATTTTCTATAATTTAAACATACTATTTAATTACATAATCAATTGCAAGTTAATTGCATTAATGAAGATGAATGGAAGTGATTTGAGGTGGATTGAAAAAGATTGAGTTGGCAACAAAGAGCATAAATGTAATTGATTTTTCAATTGCATTGACGTGGATGAGCAGAGTAAAACGAGATATAATTACCAGCTTTTTGTTGATCTGTAATCTGCTTCACCCGAGCTGACGAATTGGGAGCAGGGTTCTGGCCGGATTCGGATGCGTACAGCCGACCTGTAGAAACAGCAGCCGTCCAAGGCACAATTGAACATGGTATAATAGATGTTGCTGAGCCGACATAGCGAGACGAACGGAGGAGGCTAGTCATCAAATATCTTCGCATGATGAAGAAATTTGCACTGAAGCTCGCCAAGGTCTATTTTCATTAAAACTCGCAGAATAAGGAAAACATGACCACAATTATCCTAAAAACTCCTACAAATCGGTCCAATTCACCATCAAAAGCAAGCATGGATTGAGTTGCTGGCAGGAAGAATAAGTACCTGGTGGGTCGATAGCAGGAGGCGGAAGATGTGCGGCTGGTGCTTCTCTGCTGAAGGAGGAATCGAGGAGGGGAAAGCTCCTTCGGTGCTGCTTCTACCTGGACTGGGTCGCTAGCAGGAGGAGAAAGATGCGCCTGCTGGAGCTTCTCTGGTAAACGGCAGATTCGGCTGGAACTTCTCGCAGTTGATGGCGGCGCGGGTCTGGAGAGGCAGAGGAAGAAGATCTCAAACGCGGGGCTGGCGAGGAAGAAAAGAATGGCGTCGCGGGGATGAGAGGAAGATGATCGGTGGGTGGAGAGGATGTGGCGGGGCTGCTGGAGGGAGAGGGAGATGTCGGCCGAGCAAGGGAGAGGTTTCTAGGGTTAGGGTGGATAAAAACGGTGGGGCAAAATTGTGGCCTTGGTGAATTGAACTGGCAATTTATTTTAGTTTGGCCCGAGCAAGACAAACTTTTTAATTTGGCTTGTAGTTTCGCTGTTTCGGAAATTGTTTTTCTGCCCTGAACTATATAACATACTTCCCTATTTGGCCTGCAGACGAGTTTGACCATCAAATTGGACGGTCAATGGAGTTGACCGTTAGTCAATGGCCAGCTCACTTGTTACGTCAGCAAGCACAGAATAATTTTTTTTAGAATTTTTATATTCTTTTTCCTTTCTACTAATATACACAATAAATAAAAGCACAAAGGGAAAAATTGGAACCGTATTTCAAAAATGCTGCACGTAGAGGAATTGTCGGAGGGCTAATTTCGGTAGCTTTTTTCAGATGGAAAATCAAGTTCGCCTGTACCGTAGTGGGCTACTGGGTCGGGCAATTAGTGTTTTCTAGAAATTGAGAGGTCGTTTGCTTGTAGGATTTTGATGAAGAATTTTGCCTCAAAATCCCACATATGATGGATTATGTCTTAAATCTATGTTTGATGACTAAAATGAGATTGGCCTAAATCCGTTGCGCCCATAGATGTGAGATTAATTTTTGCTCAAAATCCGTGGATCCCATGGATTATAAAATCCCACATTGTGAGCTAGAATTTTGGGAGAAGGCAAAATCCATGGACCCCACTAATGATGAAATGACCAAAGTATTCTTAACTAAAAAAATAAAAATACTTTATTAATGACATGAGTAAGGATATGATGGTAAATTCATCATGTAATCCATAAATCCATTATGCTATGATCCATTTTGAAATCTAACAAGCAAACGTGCAATTTGTAAAATCCAACACAAATGCAAAATAACAAAATCCAACATAAATTCTTTACTCTCAAAATCCAAGGTTTTACCCAAATCCCTCATTTTATAAGATCCAACAAGCAAACGACCCCTGAATTACACGCACCACGACGCAATCTTCTTCGAACGAAGCTCTCACCACCAACATGCTCCCCTCCCATCGACGAACCGCAAATTCTTCTTCCGGTGGGCTTGCATGAGGATGGAACGTAGGCTTTCCGTTCAAAATCCGGGTCCAGCGCCATACTTGCGCCGGCTATCTTAAAGTAGGTTTTCATAGCCAAAATCAACCCTCCGCTTTGAATTGCCGACACATTTTCTTCCCGTCGAAGAAGAGTTACATGGACCCTGTCCTCCGAATCAAATCAGTTCGAATCCACACATGACTGAGTTCAATTAGTCTAATTGGATGTTTTTCTTTTTGATTGCAGAAATAGCATCCGGTTTTGAAGACGATGGCGAGGAAGCTGCATTGAAGTTCGCGGGCAAGAATGGGATCGATTTGGTGGCGATCCATCCGGCAACGTGTTTGGAGGGCCATTGTTGCAGCCTGGACTGAATGCAAGCACCGTTGTGTTGAAACAGATGCTGGAAGGAGCTAAAGACAGACAGGAGTATCACTGGCTGGGAGCTGTTCATGTTAAAGATGCGGCCAAGGCACAAGTTTTGCCGTATGAGACTCCTGCTGCTTCTGGTAGATACCTCTGCACCAATTGGTATATTGTCTCGATACTCTTAATTGTCGCTAAGTGATCCAATACAATTCTTGCCATGGGGATTATTTGTTTTTGTCCTTAGGATACGGATGACAAGTTGGGATGGTGGCAATGGTGTTTGATCCTCCTGCGGCATGACAATATATTGGTAAGCAAGTGAGGACTGGACCCAAATGGGTACAAGACAACTTGGAGGGAAGAAAGCCAGTCTTCCATTATTCGATTCTAGGTGAGATAGTTGGATTTTCCAAAATCAACTGGGTTTCCTACCTTGTCCCTTCTTCCTGTTGTGATGTAATTGCGCCAGTCATAGGATGGCCTGTCATGTGGTATTTCACCGTATATTGTTTTTAACTTGGATGAAGCTTGAGTTGCTAAATAATTTAGATCAGATGCTAAATGGTGTCTCAGTTCAGGATAAAGGTCATAGTATTTGTTATTGAGTCTGTGCGCCAGCTGTATTTTGCATTTTAAGGCCAAAGTTGTTTTCTTGCTGCTCATTTCTTTGTTACTGTTGTGCTTAGTGTTGGAAGTTAAATGTTATACCATGTGAGTGGAAACTTGGTTGTCACTCCTGTGATCAAGGGATTCACGGGTCCAAACTTCTCCGTTTTTAGTCTCCCCATATTTCCCGGTCATTGTATTCCAGTTTTGATGTGTTTCCATTCTCTCTCTTTCTATGTTCCATTGTTTGCTAACTATATTGGAGAAGAGAGATTTCAGTTAAACAAGTAACATTTCTCAAAACTGCATTTTTTGGATTCTCCTCTGCTCTATCTCTATCAATTCTCATTTGTGGTTGTACTTAACTTAGTTTTTTTATATGAAACCAGTAATAATGCTCCATAATGAATAGGTGCAGTAGATCATATGTTTAGGTATACAAGGAGTTGTCTTCATGAGATTCTGATACAACCATCTGCATGTACAAGATTGATACATTTAAATGTGCAGTTAGGTAGTTTTCAAGTTCTTTGTCACAATTTTGTTCTCAGTAATGTTTTCTGATAGTTGCAGAAACCATCAATAGTGCTCTTTTGTCTCCAAGGGTTACAGTAGGCTTTATTGTGACAAATATAATAAAAAAGACTAAGGCATTAAAGAGAACCACCCATTTCTATTGATCCAGTGTAGTTTTTTTATCATTGCTTATTTGAAAGTGGAGAAGGTAGCTTGATTAATTTGAATGCTCCTATCTAAGCGAAATATATAAGCTCGCATTTTGGTTTGCGATCATATTGCCATGTCAATTATCATCAATTTGTTATATTTTCCTATGCCTTTCAAGTTTATTTCAATCATGCAAGCATTCTTGATGTTTCCTTGGGAAGTAAGCAATTTGTATAGAATAATTTCTCTTTACTCAGAGTTGGGACAATCTGTATCGGATTTCGAGAAGGCTGCTAAGTTACTTGGTGCTTGCGAATCGAATGGTCTTGGGAAAGTACTAACCGAGCTTGCTGCTAAATCGGAGGCATTATCAATCCGACTACAAAAGGAGGCAAGTCTTTGAGTTGACGTTGAGTTCATTTTTGTAATGTTGTTGTGGCCTTAGAGTAATGAGTTTATTGATCCTTGTCTTCACGCACATGCAGGCCTATCAACTCCTAATGAATTTTGAAAGAACCTATGAAAGATTACGTTCGTGTTGTGCAGTCAATTAAGGTTGGCGCTCTTGCTGTTGCACTCTCCTTTAGGTGGCTTTATGCCTGCTATCAATTGAATCCTTATACTTTATGGAAACTGATCATCCTGCTGCTTTCCAAAAACTTGGACAGGAAACTATTGCTGAAAGCGCCAATGCCTTTAGGCAACAATTGAACTGGCCGAAACAATGAAGTTGAAGGAGATAAATCTATATGCAGTGCTGTCAAAGCCGAACCGAGCCGGCCGGCCGGACCGCCAAAGCCGCCACCCGGACGTAAAACCGGCTCGGATCAGCTATTTAACCGCCACGATTTTATACAGCGGCCGGCGAGCGGCCGAAGCGGTTAACCGCTCGAGCCGGTCGCGCGGTTCGGCCGTTTGATTTACCCTAAAAAAAAATAGAAAAGGTCAATCGTGGAATCGGTCGTCAACACCTTTTGTCCCGGCATCGCCATCCCCAGTCGCCATCGCATCGCCATCGCCAGTCCTTGTTGTAGCAAGCAGCTCCCCGCTCCCCGCGCTTCCATCCCGTCGCCACCGTCGCAAGCAGCTCCCCTAAAGCACCATGTATCCGCCACTGGCCGGCGTGTATGGAGTCGATGAAGACAGCCTTAACAATGGAGGAGAGAAAATAGCAGAATCGCACACAGTGTAGGGGCGAGTGGATGATGACGGTAAAAGAACTTGGAGTTTCTTCACACCTTTGGAACGACTTTTCTCTTCCTGGACCTAGACAATCAGTGGGCCCGTTCAACGTCTCCAAAGGAGCCCATTGCAATTTTTTGTTTTCAAATGTACCCTCCGTAAAACGCTCTGGAGGCAGGATTGTTAAAACCATTACCCATTGACACTGGGGTCTCTCTCCTCTCTTTATTTTCTCTGAGTTCTCTCTAGAAAGCTTTCACAGTCAGCATTGAGGGTTGCCGCCGGCGTCCCTTTGGCGACCGGTGGCAGCCCTCTGCTCCTCTTTCATTCCCTTTTTTCTAGCTTTTCTGTTGTTTCTTTCTCTGCTTTGTATTTTGCTCGGTTTTTTGACTTTTCTGGTGCTTTTTCCGTTGTTGGGTCTTCCTCCTCCCCTTTAGTGGGTTGATCTTTTGCCCTCTGGTCTGTTATCTCAGATCTGGAGATGTGTCCGTCCTTAGATGCAAAATGAAGGCTAGATCTGTCACAGATCTAGCTTGTTTTCTCCTCTTCTTTCCTTTGTCTACCTCCTTGTTTCACTTTGCAGAGCTTAGTGA